GCGAGGGAAGGGCGCTTGACCGGCTTGACATCGATCCAGAAGAACTCTTCCAATTCCATAGGCGGGTCATCAATAGTAACATCTCTGGTACCCTTGACCTATCAAAATGAAACCCATTAGTTACTTGACATCAAGTAAGGAAATCTAATCACAAAAAATGAGGAAGAAAACAACATACCAATTCGCGAGCCCACAGGATCAAGTGATGGAAGGTTAGTTCCATTTTCAAGGTCAAGTCCTTCGGATTAAAAATTCGCCATCCTTCAGCCTTGTTATTCTTCAATGAACCATGATGATCTTGTAACGCAGTGAGCCATCGCGAATGAGGATCAACAGGAGTTGCATGAGCAAGATCCGAGGCAGTGGTAACAACATTATTGAGGGTGTTCTGTGCTCTGAGTCGGGCTTGATTCTTTGTGAGTTCCTGCACCAAAAAGAACCGGGCAAAGTTAGCCTGTGAAAGGATAAAGGCAAAATGTGAAGTGAAATAATGGGTACATACATCAATTGCCTCTTGAGCACATCGTGCTGGGTTGTCCATCACAATGACGAAACCGGCGTGCTTTCCGAGAGCTCCAAGGACCGATTGAAAGAAAGAGGAGACATGGATATCTTCGGTGATGGTACGTTCTTGGTTTTTGGCCCAGGTGTCGTGGGCAGTAATAAACGCATAGATCTTGACTTGTTTCATGGCATCGGCGGTTTGGAGAATAGCTGTGTTACCTTTGCTTTGGTCGTTATCAATCTCACTTGCCAGATCAAATAAACGTTGCTTCAATCGCGCCAAAGAGGTTTCGTTTAGGTCGAAAGGTTTTTTGGTGGCGGGGATGGGAATTGTGGAATAGACTGGCTTTGCATTCTTCTTAGCGGGTCCCTTGGTGATATCCGTCCCTTTGAGCAAACACATAGTGTATGCCACGCTGAGCGGTTGAGGAGTAGTCACACGAGCTCCTGATGGTTGCAAAACTAAACCACAGACAAAAGTCTTGAATGTTAGAATGTGACTTCCTAAAGGACGGAAGCAGAAAGAATGCATACCAGGTTTTTTGTCGGACAGAGGGACACGAGGTGGTAAATTCGATGAGACAATCTCAATGTCGGAACTGGCCGCTGGGCTGGGGTCTCGGGCCACAGGTGGACCAAATATGACATCGGCAAGGGGTAGCGAAGAGCTGCGATCACCAATAGAGGCAGTGGTCTCTGAGACATGATCAACTGCAGCGGCAGCCAATGCGCTAACATATCCAGAAAAATAAAAATGTGAGACACGAACAAAAGAAGCAAAATTTCTAAAGAAAGGAACACACCGTCGAGTGCTAGGGTAAGGACGCTGCCCAATGGGCGTGTCATCTAAGTTGATTTGAGCTTGTGAGAAGTTTTGCATGATGGATCGAGAGTAATCAGAGTGAAAGGGGTCAAGGGTAGGCTTGAAGGTGAATGCTTTGGAGTAATCTGATCGAAACGACTGATGTGTGGTGCGATGAAGTCCAGAAAGGGTTGCAAAACCTCGCGGAAGGGCATTCGTAACGGTGAAGGGCTGAGTTGTGGTTCTAATCGATGGCCGGTAAGGTGGATTGGAAAGGTGCGGAGCCATGAGGAGCAGTATTCGTCTAGTCCCCCTTGACTGAAGATAGTTGAGGAGGCTGGTAGGCTAAGGATAGTGATGAGCGGTTTGAGGATGGATGGGGATGGGTGTTGGGGGCTGGGGTTTGGGAGCCGTGAGGTCTGTATAGGTCTGTATGCGAAGCCCTGGTAGTCGGTGGCTGTTGGAGACGAGAAGTTTGCTGAGCTTTGGCGGTCCGGTTTCGCCAGACTTCCCAGGGCGCACGGACCACCAGGTTGGTTTTGTTTCCGGATTTTTTCATCCTTTTTGCATCTTACTGTACACGACGCGCATATTGTCCTCAAAATTTCAAGCCGAACCTGAGTCACCAACGGTCACGACCTTCACGATCCACTTCCCCCCTCTACCTGACATATTCACGACTTCACCGGCTAATGTGATGACCTCCCCAACCCGCATAGACTCTCCTTCTTCCCGGCTCAATGCTTTCCCATCATATATGTAATCGACCTCGAATTGCCTGAACATCAAGTGCTACACGTACAGGTCAGCGATGGCATTGGGCGAATTGAGTCTCATCCTTGACTTACTGCCGTATCCCACTCCTTGTGGACCAAGCTTGCGACTCTCCATTCGTCGGCACAGCTGTCAGTACAGACCGTAGTGTCCCGCAGCACCAGGCGACGACCAGATACGGTTAGACCTTCAACCGCCGGAAAATTTGTATCCCGCACCCACGCAGCCTCATCGAGAATTAACCTTGCGAAATGAAGATCACCGCCCTGGACCACGACTCCGCTTAACCGGCAAGGTCCAGCTAGATTAGGCGACTCGACCCTGCTCTCATCAACCAACAAAACCGGCACCAAGACGCCAGGCGCTCGGCATAAATTGACCAATCCGTCGTATTCCCTGCGAAGCGGACCACCACATTGACGCTGTGCAAACGGAATCATGTTAGGTACAGTCGAAGACGGAATAGACTAAGACGCACCAATGCGACCACGTCAAACTCCCCGAACCATCTCAATGTTAGCTTTTCGTATGTGCCAACAGCTAATGACAACGCCATCTGCTCCAAAATGCTGGCCGTTTGAGTGTCAGTTGAGGCAGATCTGATTCGAAAAATTACGGCTATGACTGATGTACGCCACAGGTGTAAAACTCGATTCGACACGGAAGTAGATGAAGGATAGAACTGGTACGGCTCTCCTTCTCCATTACCTCGCGCCCCTTCTTAAGTGGGCTAACTCGGAGTTGTGTTAAAATCGCTGCCTGTAGGTACAGCACCTCCAAATAGTCCTGTTTACCACCCATGTTTGCCGTGTGCACCAGAGCGGTCTGAACCATCCTCTCTACCAAGAAAATAAACTGACCAGGCCTGAAGCGTCTCGGTCTCACCACACTTCATCAAGTAATTGTGCATGGCGTCGACTACTTAAAGGTGAGCCCTTCAGTATAATACTGATTTGCTAACTACTGCCTCTTCATCTCAAACAGTTGACCACCAGCTGACCTCATGGAGCCCTTACAACTGTCTGTCCATTTCCGCTCGACACTATACCTAGGTGACCAGGTCAGGCCCCTAATACCTGTGCTGTACACCATCCGCCCTTTCTGACGTTTTCTCTTCAGCTCCAGCCCGATTCCAGTCATCGATTAGCAGGGCCATTGTATGCCAGTGACGTATTCGTCTGCTTCAATCGGCCCGAATACATCCCTGTGACTGTCATGGCCTCTGGCGGCTCAACCGTTCTGGAACCTGATGTACCTCATTTCGTGCGTGGCAGTCTAATTCCCTATGGCCGCAACAGAACCACCACTCTCCTGGTCACATCCAGCCAGGTGGTTGTTCCAGCATCCACCACCAATCGTCACGTCCTGCCCCGAACATTCATTTCCAGCGTTGGTACGGTTACTCAGCGCTATTTCTTGCAAGGGGAGCAGCGTTGGGTGGTCATTGTCTCACACCGTGACTACCAGCCCATTGTAAGCTACCGCCCCAATTAGTTATACTTACACTGACATGAACTTAGCAGTCTCGCACCATAGTTAATTTCGACGTTGAGTATACTCTCCAACGTGCCACGATGCGGGAAATTGGGCTTGAACTCTTTCAAATTGGCGATGTCTTGGGCCTCCACGGTACTCTATTCGGGTATGATCAGACCAGGGATCAATGGATAGTACACGTCAGTCTAAGCTCTTGTTTTGCCACGTTTGGATACTGAGTCCTTCCTTATAGTTGAACGAAGCCGAACCGACGCAACCCTGAGCTCTCAACCCCGCCCCTGATCCCGGCCTGAAATACTTGAATTGTTGGTCTGAGCACAGAGGTGGTGCACTGTTGCAGACAATTGGCCTGTAAGGGGCCATCAACGTGGGGGAATTGTTCTCCAATCACATCTGTTCCTGGCCCCACTGAATGGGGCACGTCCGCCGCTTTGTATTGAATGAAAGTCACTCCGAATGTCTACCATAAAGCTCACTGCGCGTAATGCATTTGCGCCCTGTTCAAATAAATATTGGACACAGAATCGCTGCCCCAAATAATTTTTCCTTCAATATCATTTCCGTAGACTCATATCCTAATTTCCTGGTAAGTCAGGCTTTCGACAATTTTATGTCGCCACATCTGAGGACAGCTCATGATCACATTGCCCACATACTATTGTTAGACATGTCTGGAGAATCGATGTATGCGGTCGAGACTCAACGCCGAGGTATGGCACACGTACATCTCCTGGTCTCCACCGATCCAGCCTCTATGGAGCTCAGTTCTTCATCTCATACTAAGCCAGGTTTGCCTCCGGAATGTATAATTCAAGCGATGATAGTACCCTGATTCCTGTCTCAAATCCGCAGGCACAGCGCCAGATCAAGCTGCTTCCGAACCGCCAGGAGCGCCTTGTCGTTCATCTCACATAAAGCTAGGTTCGCTATCGGATCCTCTAGGCAATCGCTGATAGAACTCTAATACATCCTTGGACCTGGCAGCTGCTAATATACATTCATTTGGCTCAGCAGAGCCAGACGCGAAGCCGGGAGGCAGCGCACCGGGCCAAGCTTCGGCAGAGACACAACTTGCACCGCCTCACTAAATGGACTGATGTATGTTCATTGCTCATCTCCTTCAAATCGGCACAATCTCTTCTCAAGGCGCGGTCACATCCGTTTGGTCCGGCATTTGGGTCTTAGCATTAAACAGTCCTGGTATCTATTCCAGTTACAATATAACGCGAGCTCCCTTGAGCCTTTTGTCCGTGTTGTGCACGCGTGTGCCTGCAATTCATCTCCTTGTGACTCCCAATGCCTTCGTTAAACATGCACTGTATTGCAATACAATCCTTAGCCTGAGCGTTGACCGTCATCAGCAGCAGATCTACACCGGACACCACAGTGTATGACGCTGATAGCACCTCACGGAGGACAACGACTACTGAACTACTGCCTTGCCGCGACCTGGACGCTCTCTGCCTGTTTGATATCACTGGTCAGCCACGTGCAGACAAAGGGTAGAGTAGATGTGCACTTACTCTGACGATCCATACCCTGTCCTGTTCGGCGTATTTCACTAGAGTTCCACGCAATGCGACAATTGTTCCTTCGCGCATTATTTCTGGAGCAAGTCCTGAAATGATCCCCTCGCCATCGGCGTAAATGACTCCAAATTTTAGTACTTCACCAGACTGTTATCATTGTTAGCATAACCACTTATCTAGGGGAGAGACGACTGGCTCACCTCGCTGGAGTAGATATTGTGGTACACCCACAAGCACCACCACCCTGCTGTACCAGTTCCTGGCCGGTTCGGTTGTCGCCTAATAACTTCGCCTGTACCTATTACGGTAATCACATTGAGGGTTTCGTGCGCCAGAGGTGCGAGGCTCGCAGGCAGGTGGTAGGCCTGCTCAGCGGTGACGACTGTCGACCCATCTCTAGCCGGGCATAAGGCTGGGCCAACAAAAACCACAACTGCTCCACTTGGAACTACTTCGCCTGGCCTCAGCTTGATGTGAAATGCGGACCGGTCCGTAGCGTCGAATGGGCTTCTGGACAAGGCTTGAAATGAGTGCTCCCGGCCTGCCCCAGTTTCGGACTGGTGAACACGTCAGTCAAAGCATTGAAGTAGTCAAAGCCAAACGTACCTGGCTGTGGGACGTGACAGTCCCACTCCATTCAATTGTAAGATTGGTCAGCGTTGGCATCTTGTATCCCGCAAGTTCGCAACTAGGCCAGTTAATGAGATAGTGATGACTTTATGGGAGACCAGCCACCGGAACCTGCTGAGGAGTCGAATATTCCTTCATCCTGCGCATGACCAACAATATTTCGCGCTGCATACTGGATTGAAGTCTACGACCTGCTCGAAATGACTACAACGCCGCCCCCGGAGAATTTCATTGGTAACATCTGTGCCGCGCTGGACTCAGACCGTTCGTGATACGTTATTCTAACGCGTCAGGGAGAGTCATACTCGCTGCAGGGAGCAGTCAGGTACAGGCATTGACAGAGCAATCCTGCGCATGACGCGTTATCTGATTTTCATTAGCTTTTCCCGGCATTCGTGGCTCCAGCGATGAAAGCTGTGAGTTTAGTCTTTCCGGTCGTGCAAGAAGACCTCCTCTCAGGGCTGCTCCTCTACTACACAGATCAAACCCGAAACCTTTCTCCCGAATTGATCCGTTCCAAAATGTCAAGTTTTAGCGATGCTCGCCTCCCCTTCAACTGGAGTGGGATTTTTCGCCTGAATGCCGAGGTATGTCACTGAAACGCTCCGAAAAACATCGCTAATAGTCTCTGTTGATTAGGTCCTTCGACAGGCGTCTGGCTCCACGACTCGCCTTTGTTTTCAAGTTCCGGTATTCCTTCCCAGATACAGGCGTTCGCACTCTGCCGTCTTTGTATATACCGACCAAGGTTCACCTCTGCTCGAGCCGAACAGTTCAGTTTGGCTAACTGGAGAAGTTCTAGCAAGAAGCAATATAAACGATACGGTCATTCTGGTCAACCGTGCCTCTGTGGTGCTCTTGGACCTTTACGCCTCACAGCTTCCGGCTCCATTGCATGTGGTGACTGTACTTAGCCGGGGTCACGTAGTGCGTAGTGATCGTCGTATCGTGGAAGCAGTGGGTTACGATCGATGGATTGTCATGGCAATGCATAATGCTTGGGACAATAGTGTAAGCGCGCAGTCCAACTAATTAGTGACATCCGGCTGACGGCGCTATAGCTAGGGAGAGTTGTGAATTTTACTGTGGCTTATGAAGCAAGTCTAGGCCTGGTGTCAAGAGTCGGCCTAGAATCATTTAACGTCGGCAATGTGGTGAATTTCCGGGGCGAAGTCTCAAGCTACCTGCATCAAAGCCGGAACTGGATGATTGAGGTATGTTATTCCGGCTATCTTTCTTTCGCGTCTACTGACTGCAAACAGCTCCGAGACGCTCAAGTCGTAGGTACCGCGGAGCGTCGGCCCGCATTCGACGCGCGTCGTGCGTCGACTGGGTAGTAAACTACAATGAAGTTTCTCCAAACCGAAGGCGCAGGCGGTATTGGTTCCAGGGTGTTGAAAGTTTGGCACTTGTCTGACCTTTATGACTTGTTCTTTGTACTATGCAAACCAAAGCTGTACGGATGTGTACGTTTGTAATAGATCCTGCGAGAATCAAATAGTCTTTACTTAGGCTCCCTGCATTACTACACCATCCTCGGTAGGCACTCCGATGCGATGAAAGCATTTATAAAAAAAGGAATGTGCGTAGAGATGAACCTCGCTCTGAAATAAATGAGATGAAGTCCAAATCCAATGTGATTACAATTTACGTTCGAGTAAGGGCTACGGACACTGGTTGACATTTGGACGTACAAAGGAATACAAATGCTACAGTACCAAGCGACAGGTATTTCGCAATTGGTCCAGCAATTTCAGGTAAGCTGAAACACGCAAGAAAGCGGCAGCATGATGATAGAACAATGGACATACCAATTCACGCTATAGCACTCTTCGAAACCACGTTGGTGGTTTTGGGAGAGTCATCGCTTGGTAGTGAAACAACCGTGCGCTTTGCGGCAGTGCAACGGGACAGCCCGACGTAGAGTTGGCCATGAGCAAAGACCGGGGTTGGCAGAACTAAACAGACGTTATCGACAGTTTGTCCTTGCGCTTTGTTGATTGTCATGGCGTAAGCCAATGTAACTGGAAATTGCGCCCGATGAAATGCTATAGGCACAACGTGGTCGCCGGGATGATCGAGAGTTATGCGTGGCAAAAAAATCTCAGTCCCACGTTTGGGGCCAGTTATAATTAAGCATGAGAGGGCGTTATCTGAAAGAGCAAGTATCAATAACCGGGTCCCATTGCAGAGGCCACGTCGTAGATGCAAGTTCCGCAAAAGAACCACTACGGCTCCGACCTTGAGATGTAAATTGTGTTGAGGGAACCCTGCAAAGTTAAAGGAATTCAATATGTCGACGCTGACTTGTTCGGCCCAATCCGCTTCCATGGCGTCGACCGATTTGTACTGTTTCGCAACCCCTTGTTGCTGTCTCAGGAGGTATTGGTTAATCTTGTCGACTGTCTTGTTCAATGGGGTGATTATGACCCGCGAGGAATAAGCTACGGCCAATTCATTCCATTGTTGAGTTTGTAACAGCGGGCGTGCTGCAGAGTAGAAATTGTCGACTACAATTTTGTCGAAAGAGGTATTGTTATTGAATGGGATAACATTGATGTATTTCAGCGTAATGAGTCCTACTGGATCAACTTGAAGCGCACCGTCTCCAACCTGCAATAGCCAGGATGCAAAGTCTACTCTTTCCTGCCTGTCCGCGCCCGACTCGCCATCCCGGTTTAACCTCATATTCACTGTCAACTTGAATTGCACAACGTTATCCCACAAATAGGATTTTTTGATGCACGCCCGGACTGAATCTTCCAGAGAGCCATGCGGTACCACCGGTAGTATCTGTCGGAAATCGCCCGAGAATAGCACTGTTAGTCCTCCGAATGGTTCGTCCCGATCCCTTAAGTCTCGCATTGACCTGTCGACGCACTCGATTGAATCTTTGTTCATCATCGATATCTCATCCCAGACCATGAACATTGCGTTGGCTAGCAGTCGACCTGTGAAGTCTGCGCGGGTGAAGTTGCATGTTGTAGTAGTGTCAACTTTCAAAGGAATTTTCAACACTGAATGCGCGGTACCACCGTTCAGTAGCAGAAGCGAGGCGATACCAGAGGAGGCGACAGCAACAAATGGCATATTGTTCGTGTTGCAATAATTGAGGCAGGTGTTGAGCAGGTAGGTCTTGCCCGACCCGCCAGGTCCATCGACGAACAACATGGCGCCAGACTGCGATGTTATGGAGTCTTGTAAAGTTCCGAAGACATTCAGCTGCTCGGGCGTCAAAGTTGAGATCGCTTCCTGAAGTGCTCCGACAGTAAGAGGTACGCTGACAACATCTGCCTCATCTATGGTCCCGCCACCGATTTCGAACAGAAGCTGAATATCAACGTCTAACAAACCTACCTCTTGAAGAGTTTTACCCATTTGGAGTACACAACTTTCAAGTAAAGAGAGACCGTAGTTGTAGAGTTGCGCAGTAGTCGGGCGGAGAGTTGGTGTAACTAATGCGAGTTGATACTCACAATCGTCACAAAGGTCCTCGATATGGTCCTCCCATAATCGAAGTGGGTTGGCCGGTGGGCTGTGAACCAAAATTAGTGCGAACATGTCGCGTAGCTGTCGCCCGGTCTTCCAAGCTGCGGCTTCACTCAAGCAAGCATCAAAGTGGTTATCAGAAAGTAGCAGGCCTAGAGCGTCGGCTGCGCTGCGAAATGTTCGGTGAATGACACTGTTGACTGTTCTCAGATCCTCGAAAGAAGTGGGCCCCCGGACAGAAGTCAAAAGCAGCCGGAGGTAGTACCGTTCGCCGTGACTAGGTGCTGCAAAGTGCAATCGGCTGACCGCTATGGTGTTGTTGACCCGACGTAGCCAACGTTTCTCTGGTTTACACCACCAGTAATAAGTCGGCATGTCGCTGTAAAGCAGTGATCGAACGGGGATGTTTGTCTTTTCAATGACACCGCCAAGGTTGCAAATAACGAAAAATTCGGTGAGGGTCGTTTTCCGTGCCTCACCGGATTCAAACTGATTTCGGAGCGTGTCAGTGTTTACAAAGTACACCATATTCGCATCTGGGACATGGACCATCAGGTGTGTGATGGAAGGGTATCGACCTGATAAGGAGTACTTATAAAGGCGCCAAATAGCTGAAGAGCATTTGTTAGTACTGTGACTGTTTTAAGAAGAGCAGGGAATACATACCTTCCGGAGACGCAAGCGTCCGTCCATCCACAAAGTCATTAGGTTCGTTTTCTACTTCCAGGCTAACTAAACTACGATCATGACCTTTGGATATGTACTTGTACAAATACTTGATTGATCTCATCCCGAGTGTAACCTCGACATTGACGTGGCACTGGAATTTGAGAAGCAAAAATGCGTTGTATGGGACTACGTCGCGGTTGGTGTACCGGTGGCCATTCTTCATGAAGAAGCGACCGTCGTCTGGCCTTCTGTATGACGGGTAAGCTTCTTCCGCAATAACAGTGCTGGAGGTGAAGGGCTTCGGATAGCCATACTTGCACCTGGATCCGTTCCAGCAAGCTTTACCCTCATAGCAAGGCCCATGAAGCATATACTGAGTTACATGCTCGAACAAATCAGGTGACTCCTTCGGATCGGGTAGAACAGCAGAGACAGCAAGATCAATAGCGGCTGGTGTGCGGGGGGCCGATGTCGCTTCGTTGATTAGAACCGCGTGATCGTGTGGATTACCACGCTTCTGGAATTCAACCGTATGAACATATGAAATGTTGGGCCCGAGCCTACCTCGCTGAAAGATATCTTCGTGGAGTTCTTGTAACTTGAGTTGATACACGCGAGCAACTAGATCTGGGCGGTCATCGGAAGTCTGGCCTGGAAGCAATGCAGCGGTGATTTCAGGCCATTTTGGATTAGCAGTCATAGTAACGAAGAAGCTAGGAGGACCATAAGCTTTGACCAATGCCATGGCGTCATGGTACAGTTCGTGCATTGCCCTTGGGCCCCCAATGAAAGACGATGGTAGGATGATCCTTTTGCCAACCGTCATGTCGTTATTGTTTAGGGCTTCAGCGGCGCCAGTGTAAAGGGCCGCTCGCATCTTTTTCTGGTTCATCTTGTAGTATTTCATCCTGGAATTTTCTACACAGACATACATGTCCACGATGTACTCTTGAAGAAGGCGTCCACCTCGAAGAATAGAAGAAAAGACCCCGCTACGGGTGAAAAGAGTGTAAGCAGCCCACTCCAGAGTTGAAACTTTCCCGTTTGGACCTGAATTGAGAATACGTTAGTTAGAGCTAGTATCCAGAGATGTGGAAGAAACGTACGCCGCTGGTTTAGATGGCGATAATGTTCGTCCCACCCATGCGATCCATGCATGAAAAAAATCGGGTAACGCAGCGAGAAGTAATTGGTGTTGAGATCTGATATGCGACGAAGCGGACCGTCTTTCAATCTGAGAATAATATCACGGTCCTTAGAGCCTATGATACCATCACCGGCTATAACAGCAGCAACCTCATTGCACGTAGGAAAATTGTATCTGTTTGGGTCCCGCCCCGAGATTGGCATTGATTTAATTTTGATGGTTTTGACTGCGGATGCATTAAGGACTTCCTCGGCAGACTTGTAAAGCTTAGCGAAGGGATTGTGGCGGTACAGAAAGTCCTGGAAAGCTTTGATGACATCGGAGTCAAGACCACCACCGGCACGCTGGTTTCGGTTTGAAGCCTCGTCATCGCCCTGAACCCCATACATGAATATTTGAGCAAATTTTCGAGGCAGGCCCGGTGTTGGCAGGAGAGACCCGATACGATGAGTAAGCCTGCCTTTTATTTTGTACGTCCATGCTCCGCCATTACCAGCAACGCTCACGTCTTGCTTGGTTCCGGTGGAAGCAAACGAAAGTGCGTTGTTGTAGCGTCTTATATCCTGTCTGAAGTCCTTTGAGGCTGTAATAATGTTTTGAGTCAGCTGATGGCTATAAGGAGATGATTTGGGCTCACTTCGATCTTGATCTGTCAATAGGCGCTGCACGAATTCCGGCGTCAGTTTGTTCTCGTGACCAGTGCTAGGTAGTTTGACGGCGCCTTGTTGACAGCAAGCTGCATAAACAGCGGTCGCCGCGGTTTTAGTTTTCGGCTGACTTTCTAACCTCCAATGAAGGGCACCACAGTAGTTGCAAGGGTCGTCACATGATCCGATGTTGAATGGCAGTTCGGCACCGAATCGTAGCTTGATTGACGCTTCAGTGCTTTCCATAACATTCTTCACTGCCAGACCGTGATTCACCATTCTGAGGTATTCGGGCCAACACGTTAGGAGCTGGTGAGGGCATTCGAAGGTCAGTGGTGGCTCAACGTAGCGTGACGGGCAGACTGACTTTTGTAGTTGTCGAGTTGGTTACGTGGCCCGGCGCGTTTTCGACCAAAGCTCGTTAAGATGGTGCAAAGTCGGAGTGAGTTAACGAAGTTAAAGCGTTGAGATTTTTGAAATTCCTGCACTGGGGGGAGCGAATCGCGATAATTGGGTAGTACTGAGCTAATGTCCGTGTTGGGTTGTCAGTGTTGTGTTTTTCAAGAGGTGGAAGCGTCAATTGGTGATAGTCAATTGGTGAATGTTTGGGAAGGGACAGCGACCAGAGTTATAAGGTATGGAAAGATTTAAGGGGATGAAGAGTAAGAATCAGACCTCGGGAATGAAATGCCTGTGAGATAGCATTGGAGGCCGACTGAGTGGATGCTGGTCAAGCGAATGAGAGCCAGGTGTGGGCTGCGCTATTTTCCAGGTGGCGAGGTGGTGCCATGGCCTGATCCGGTGCTGGTGTAATGGGCTGGTTAACCAGGCACTGCCGAGGCCAGTCAGCAAACTTCGATTGGGCCCGCGATAAGTTGCATCGAAGAGGAATTGGTAAAGATGGCAGCATCCGTCGATATCTTATCCAACAGTAGAGCGGGCCAACGTTGCTCTCGATTGTCTGTAACAGTGAAGGCAAGAAACTCACAATAGCCTGAGCGAATGGCTTCAAGATCCTCATCCTCTATCGGAACTGAGAGCGTTTGGGTCTGGCCTTTTGTTGTTAGCGTGATTTGAATGGAGATTGTTTAGCGATAGTTGGTTGAAATTGAATGAGTCAGTTTGTAATGACGAAATGCTGAGAAGTCCAGATGCACCTGGACAGTCGTTGCGCGTAGATGGGGTGGAAAAAGAAAGACAGTGACTGGAGAGTCTGTCTTGATTTTGAAGGGTTTGTCGGCAATGATGTTGTGTAGCGACGCTTTAGCCGACACGTAGTAGAGGGGACAGGGACGTATGGAGAGGGTGGGCAACGATGTTATGAACACTTTCAACACGTTTGATTGCACAAAATAGACACTATAAACAAAGAGGAGGACAGTAAATGTAGATTATGTACAGGGACTATGCGCATGAGTAGAAACAACCGAAGAAGAAACATATCAGGATCTCCATGGACACAACAAAGACTACTGCTCGGATTCGGCCTCGCTATCCTCGAGTGGCTCGTCAACGTCATCAGCTGGTTCTTCGTCAAGAGGAAGCGGCTTCGAGGCAGGTTTCGCTTTCTTGGCCTTGACAGGAGAAGCTTTCTTTGCGGGGGGAACTGGGGTGAGTGGCCACTCGGTTTCCGAAAGGAACTCTTCGTTGGCAGGAGGCTCTTCTGCTTCCTGAACCGGAGTGGCGGCCTTGGCTTTGCCTTTGCCTACCGCTCGGCCGCTTTTAGCTGCTACAGGCTTTACAGTTTTGGGAACATGTCTAATTCGAAGAGTCAGATGACAGTATGGGTATAAATCGCTGAACAGAATACATACTTGGCAGGCCTGGTGCGTCGGCCTGTAACAGGTGGCGAAAACAACGCCTCTTCTACTGGAGGTACCTTGCGTTTGGCTGCTGTAGCGGATTGTGCAGAGACAGGGGTCGAAGAGGGACCGGCGAGTCGCGACTGCATTGGAAGGGGTAGTTGGGGTCGAGATATGCCTGGGAAAGATAGTCAGCAGTGCAGAAGAGGCATTTTAGGAAGGATGACTAACTTGGCTGGCCGAACCCGTCCAGCGGGAGTGACATGTCCTGAGGGATCAGTCTGTTTGCCAGTTGTCCCTTCGTTGCCGGTACAGGGACTGACGCCGGTGACCTATAAACGCAAGGAGCAGTATTAATACAGGTTCAGGGATAAATGAGGTTGGAAAAGATGGAATGACCTCGACAATCCAGCGATTGTGTTCGCCATCCCAATCCACGATGAAACCGGAAATGAGAGTCTCGCGACCGACTTGTACCAAGTTTTGACTCTTCTCCATGTTCCGGGTGGGTCGGATGCGATACTCGATTTCGAAGTATTGGTTCTTGCGAGCCTAAGTTGAGCAGGGGGTTAGTGTGGCTTAATATTGTGAGAAGTGAAATGTTCTGACCTGAGGTTGGTAGTCAATGTGTTTCATCACGAAGCACAACGTAGACTTGGTGTCGTCCTCATCAGGGATGGTACGGCGGCTAGAAACAATCCCGAGGCCAGAAAGTGCTGTATTATGGTGAAGGACGCCAATAAAGGTTTCACTCGTACCGACGAAAACCTTGTGCTCGGCCTCGTAGTACATGTTGAAGTCGGCGGAGTCCTTTGCTGGTAGGAAGCGGGCTTTGATGCAGTAGCATTCACCTTCATGTGGAACTTGGAGGGATGAACAGTACGCCGTGAATTTGCCGTCGTACTCTTTCTTATTGTCCCCGTTCCAGCCGTTACAGGTGATGGCGGCCGTGCAAGAGCGGTAGGAGTAGTTTCGGTTGTCTGAAGGGGGGTGTTGTAGAGGAAGATAAGTGGGAGCTACATTGGAGTACTGAGAAAGGAAAAGTACGAACCACAGCACTGTTCTCAACGATACCAGAAACCGTAACGACGTGCGACTGTTTGAGCGGAATGTTGGAACCAGACATTGAGAGAGTAACGGAGAGGTACAAAGCAGTATCAGGTAAGGGGTGTTGGGTTAAGTATGGTGGAAACAGAAATAGAGAGAAATGTAGATGACGGGAAGTAGTCGAAGAATTTGTTATGATGAGGGGGCTGTATTTATAGTACCATGTGGTGTACACGCAGGCAGGAAGGAGCGTATTAGCGCTGATGGATCGGTGAGTAGGTGGGATTGGACTGGAATTGGTAAGCTGAGCCGATGAGAATGGCAAGAAGCTGTGTAACATGACGTAGTGGTCAGGTAGGAAAAATGTCCGGTTTGGTGCGTGGCAGGCTCGTGGCGAACGTGATCGGGTGGTTATTAAAAAGGGTTTAAACATTCAGCGAATTGGCTGGGACGGGGGAACTCACGATGCGTGGCATTGAGATTGGTTGCGAGTTGATGAGGCGAAGAGAGTTGGCTCTGAAGATGACGTCATGCGGAGACGGAGTGAGAGGTGAGGAGCAGTGAATAGTAGCGATGTGAGCTGCTAGTAGTCAGCTGAGATGAGAAGATAATATTGGGAAAGTAATGAGCTAGGCATCGTCAATGATCCGTAATGTGCAGCCTGATAGGGGGCTGAGAGTCGAGTAGGGATAAAGTAGAGGTGTCGAGGGTAGTATAGGGAAGTATAGGCGGGGCACAGTATAAGGGACGTGTAGAGTGGGGGAATGGGATAATTAAGGCTTGGGGTTGGGGATAGTGGGCAAGGACATTTATTTAAGCATATAGAATTGGGAAGGATCTACGATGGACGAGAGAGGAGGGTGGAGGACAAACCTCAAACCCGGATACAGCCTGTACAGACTGTACAGCTCAATACACAACCCAAAATTGATCAACTATGTAGGAGTAGTATCAACATAGGATCGACTTCGCTCGTACTTTCTCTTACTCAACTCAGCTCACAATCATTTGGAATCACATTAACTCAAATGCAATCGATTTATAGGACATCCGAGAGACGGTGATCAATCAATGGAG